TTTTGGTTTTAAATTTGACTCTTAAAAATATAAATATTAAAAACATAAGTGTGCCCCCCGCCCCCACCCTCCAACCACCCCCGGGTATTATCTTTACTACAGGCATTTATAATCCCTTTTGAGAAAATAAATTACTAACACTTGCAGTAACACTTGCACTGCATGAAATTAGTAACACTTGCACTGCATGACTCGTTAATAAAGGCTAAAGGGATGACAAAAAGAAAACATTAAAAAACATCCTGCTACCTTTTTTTTCCCACTTCGAACACTGTATATATATATATATATATATATATATATATATATATATATATATATATATATATATATATATATATATATATATATATATATATATATATATATATATATATATATATATATATATATATATATATATATATATATATATATATATATATATATATATATATATATATATATATATAACCAATAATATATATACAATACAATACCAAACTAACTTAAATACAAAATTTTATCTTCCTATAACAAAATTAGAACTGACAGAACTCTAAAAGATTTTGAAAATTGCTGTTTTTAATCCTTCCTGTTATGTAACTATGTCAATTAAAACACTTATGCTTTATAAAATATTTTTTTAAGAATATAAACTTATAGATCAAGCAGGATAATTTACTTTAAGAGTCTCTTTTTTATACATATTTCTATGCTCTACCAAACTTTCCAGTTTGGGTACAGCAGTTGTTTCTTTTCTCCAAACAAAATTAAAACTGTTAGACTTTCTTCTTTAAAACTTTTTATGTCCATTCCAGGTAATAATTTTCTGTCCCAGTGATTGGTCACTATTTCAGGCATATCAAGGAATCATCACAACTCAGATCTAGTGCTTCTACTGCAGCCTGAAGTATATAGACAGAACCCTTAAAATATGATAAAGTTCTTCCTTCCACTTTTTGTTGTAATTTCAGAACTTACCATTTGAGAGGTTGATGCTAAGGGTTCTTTAAGGCTTTCATCAGTGCTGGTGTGTTGATTGTAATAGTCATGGGTTTATGTAAAAATTTGTATAAAAACGAAGACAATAAACTTTGTATTTTTATCAGTTCCAAAGCATCAGCATGTGTATCAGCATATCAAATAAACTATTGTAAGTAAATAATTATTATTTATTTACTATCATCAATTGATATCAAATTATCAAGATAATAATTATCTATTTTTAATTACCAATTTTGTGCCATTATAAAAACCACTTTGAGCATATTTACCCTTTTAAAAATAAAGCCAGTAAGCGCAACTATTGCACAACTTGTATGAACATGATTTGATGTAAGTTGGCACAGGTTATTGCACTCCAAATGAGGGAAAAAATTGTTTTTAGGAGTACCCTAATATATATACATATATATATATATATATATATATATATATATATATATATATATATATATATATATATATATATATATATATATATATATATATATATATATATATATACATATATATATATATATATATATATATATATATATATATATATATATATATATATATATATATATATATATATAAGTATTATATACATACATACAGGCTTGGTCAGGAAGGTGTGCGATTTCATGTCTTTATATGACCACGCAAAAAATAGTTTGTTTTGACGATTTACCACAGTTTTAACATTTTAATAAAATGCTGAAAACTTAACTTAGTTATAAAGAAACTAAAAAATCAAACTTATTTAAAAAAAAGAAAAAAATCTTATTAAAAAAATAATGAAAAATAAAATAAAAAAAGCTAAGTAATAAACAACTAAAACAAATAAAAATTAAAAAAACAAAAATAAAACTTACCTAAAATAAATAATAAACAATAAGATAATTAAGTTTGAAACAAATAACTTTGAATCTTTACTAATGCTTTTAAAATGTAAAACTAGTAGTGTCCCGTCTACTTTGTTACAGCACCATATAAAATTATTTTAATAGTAAAAAAAAAAAAAAAAAAAAAAAAAAAAATTCTAATCAACAAAAAAATGTAAATAAACACTTTTGTTTTTATGAAAAAATTCATCGCGCAATAGTGGTATTTTTTAAAAAAACAATTAAACTTAACGAGGTAACTATTTTTAATGACTTTATTGACTCTTAAATAAAGTTTATTAAAGAGACATTTGTTGTTTAAAGTTGTTGCTTATAAAATTTAAATAATTAAAAAATAAATAAGATTAATTATAAAAAAATCTTACATATTATTTTATTTATTAATTATATAATCTTATATATATTCAACTAATATAAATAAAAATTTATACAACTTTCATCTATACTTTAAATTAAAACGTTAACAGTAACTGTTACTTTATTTAAAAGTATTTTGCTAATATAAAAACGTTAGTAAAGATAAAAAAAGCTTTAAAGTTTATTTTTGACATGACAAAATTTATTTTTGATGTAATTAAAAATAATTTTTTTCAGCGCATTTTTCTCATTGTAACGAATCCAATGATGTATGACAATGGCCGGGGTCAAATCGCAAAACTAAAAAGTGGTTTGCAGGCAGGTGTGAGTTGCTTTCAAAGATTATACTATAAAATACATTTATTTAAACTATGTATTTGAAAAGTGTATTTTTTACAATATTTTTAAAATAACTTGTACAATAATTTTATAAACAACAACCAAACGGATTAAAATGTAAAAACCGTGGTTGAATCGTCAAAATAAAGTATTATTTGCGTGGTCATATACCAGCGGGCGATCGCACGCCTTCCTTAACAAGTCTGCATACATACATACATACATACATACATACATACATACATACATACATACATACATACATACATACATACATATATATATATATATATATATATATATATATATATATATATATATATATATATATATCTTATACTGCTAAGTTAGGTGAGCATGATGATGTCATACTCACCTAACGTCAAATAGCCTGCTGCCAGGGGCTTCAGTACATACATTGACTGACAAATAGCCTGACTCGCAGTGGAGTGCTGCTACAACGACTGAGGGTTTGGTATGGGTCAGCAACTTTTTCATTCATTATTCTTCGTTTTCCCTCATCGTTTTCTAAAAATGCTCACTTAATTTAGGCTAGCAAAAAAAGTGAGCATTTTTTTGCTAGCCTAAATTAATTTCATTTATTTTCATTTAATATCAATGTTTTTTATGAATTTATTACAAATGAAGAGTGATGTATCCTTATCTCCTTTGGATAAAAAATTAAAACTTGAAAAGTAATTTTGTTTAAAAATTTTTAAAAGGCAAGTAGATTTTGACTAAATTAAAATTATTTAAACTTATAATCAGTAATGAAGTAATCTTTCAAGAAAGTTGTACATACATTGACTGACAAATAGCCTGACTATATATATATATATATATATATATATATATATATATATATATATATATATATATATATATATATAATATATATATATATATATATATATATATATCCTTATAGTGTAGTCGAAAGAGCGTTTTAATGTAAAAAAAGTCTCTTTCGACTACAATTTTAATTACCTCGTCTCTTAAGCTGTATTTGATTGTCGTCGAAATGTCAAAGCAATGAAATTAATGCGGAAGTACATTAAATTTTATTGTTTTTTAAAAATTTTTTAAAAAACCGCAATAATAACGACTAGAAAGATTTTTTTAATTAGTAGTGTTTTTGTTTTTGTTTTATTAAAAAACATTTTTAAAACATGCGTAAATGTTGCTACATCGACTATCTTATAGCCTGACTCGCAAGGGAGTGCTGCTACATCGACTGACAAATAGCCTGACTCGCAAGGGAGTGCTGCTACATCGACTGACAAATAGCCTGACTTGCAAGGGAGTGCTGCTACATCGACTGAGGGTTTGGTTTGGGCAGGCAGTCTATCATTTTAAAAAAAAAAAAATTTAAGTTTTTAAACTTTTTCTGGTCTGGTTTATTAACGCGCTCTTTAAAACTACAGTTTATGGGAAACTCTTTTTAACTACCATGCAAGAGTATATATATATATATATATATATATATATATATATATATATATATATATATATATATATATATATATATATATATATATATATATATAAATGTGTGTGTGCGAAAAGGTATATATATATATACATATGTATGCATATTATTATTATTTATATTATTATTATTATTGTTATCATTATTATTTTATTATCATATATAATATATAAATATCATTTTTTTTTATTAAAAAAAAAATACTTTTTATTTATCAGTTCTTCAGCTTTTTGTAGAGATCTAACATTTGAATTTCTTTCACAACCAACCTTTATACTTGCAACAACATTCTTTGGACATAGGCGACTTAACCCAACTTGTTCAATGAGACCATCAAATGAATCACTAATGTTGGAGTTTTGAGTAAAATATAACGCTTCTAGCTTTTTTAAGTCTTTTAAACCATCTGGTAACGTTTTCAACAATGTTTCAGAAATATTAATTGTTCTTAAATTTTCACAAAATAACTCTTTTTTATTACTAAATGAATAAAACAAACTGATTGATTTAAGTTTATTTCCTAACAAATTAAGATAAACAAGATCAACTAGCTGATTATGTTGTTGATGTTCACAAGTGTTGTTAGATGTTGTATAAATATGTTCTGAATATGCATAACAAAAACTATTTGGTTGCTGCTTTTCAGAAAAATTGATAAAGATTAAGTTGTTTTTAACAAGAGCTAAATGACTTAAATGTTTTGGAAAGCATGATATACACTTTATTTCCGAAATATTGTTATAACTTAAGTTGAGATGAAATAAGTTAGGTGCAAGACATGAAATTCCATTTGGCACGTCTGAAAATTTATTATTTGATAAATCAAGATGAATCAAACCAGAATTTATTGCACATTTCTGTTTTTCTTTATTGTAACCACCATCATCCTCATTTGATTTTCTACTATAAAGAACTTTTTTTTTCGAAACGGGAAACCTTAATAAACGACTATCAATTTCATTATCCACTTGTTCTATGTTATATTTTCTACAATCATAAAAGTAATAAATTAATTATTTTGTATTTATAAAAAAAATAAAAATAAAAACAAATAAATCACAATAAATATCATAATATTATTATTATTTTATAAATGTTGTGAATAATTATTTTATTTATTATAAAAATAATAAAATAATTATGTCATTTTAAAATAACTTTATAAAGCTAAAAAGTAAAATCACCTGTTAGAATTTATTAAAATAGGTAATTCATTTAAATAATTGTGATCAAGCAACAAAACTTTCAATGATTCTGAAAGCCACATTTCCATTGGCAGACTATTTAAACTATTGTTGCTGCAGTTGATATACTGCAAAAGAGGCATTTTAAAAATAAATTTCGGAAGAGTTTTGAGTGTATTATGCTGCAATTCTAGTTCTTCTAAAGTAGGACCAACCAAATTTTGGTTTAAAATATGGCTTTCATTTTCACTTGAATCCGTAAAACATAAGTCATAAAGTCTGTTATTTGATAGATTTAGTTTTCTTAAAGCAGGTAACTGGAAAAGTATAAATGGAACAAATTCAAGTTTATTATCTGATAAGTTTACTTCAGTAATAAGTTGAGGGTGCAACTTATTTTTTATAAGATCATCATGAAAAGAATATATGGCTGATGGTGCAGCTAATATCCATTTTTCCTCTAAGATGTTGATAAAACGCTTATTCCAGTGTATTGATACAGGAGTTGATGAGTCTTGTGAATCATTTAACGTTACTGTTCTTTCAATATTAACATAAACACCTATAAAAATATATATTTATTTTTATATTTTTTTTATATTAGGAGAATATCAAATAAGTCTTTTTTTCTTTTTTTTTGTAATATTTAAATAAAAATATTTATATAATTATTTTTTATTTATTTATGTATTTTTATATATCAATCAAAAAAAGAATATATAGCAAATAAAAAAATAATAATATAAATAATTTTAATTAAACATGAAAAAAAATTAAAAGATTTTTTTAAAATTCTCCTAATACAAAAATTTCAGTTATAACCTTTTCAAACCAACACGACGAACTATAAGACTTTGATCTTTTCTAATGTTTTTATAACACTAGGTGAACTCTTGATTTAAATCATCAAAAAGTATTTTTAAAAAAAGGTTATTGAAACACATTCGCTGACGTCGTTGTTTATAAAATTAGGAATAAAAAATTTTTTAAAAAATTTACATTCATCATTAAAAAAAAAAAATACTTTTGAAATAAATAAAATTTTATTTAATATATGATAATTTTTATGATAATTTATTTAATAGTGCTTTAAATCTTTATTTAAAAACGTGTAAACAAATTTTATTAAAAAAAAAAAAAATGCTATGTTTTTTGACTATTAAATATATAGATTCATCAAAAAGTTTGTTAAAATAATCCGTTTGGTTGTTGTTTATAAAATTATTGTACAAGTTATTTTAAGAATATTGTAAAAAATACACTTTTTAAATACATAGTTTAAATAAATGTATTTTATAGTATAATCTTTGAATACAACTCACACCTGCCTGCAACCACTTTTTAGTTTTGCGATTTGACCCTGGCCATTGTCATACATCATTGGATTTGTTACAATGAGAAGAATTAGGTTTAATATGTCACCGAATTCATAAAATTCCTTTTAGCAAAATATTTACATTTTAGGGGCTAAAAGGGCCCAATTTTGGAAATTTCCTCCAAAATTCAGGGGGGAATACATTAACATGAAAATTTGATACTTTTATGATAATTCATCATCATCATCATCATCATCATCATCGTCATTGTTTTAGCGTCCTTGTTTCCGTGCTTGCACGGGTTGGACCTTTCTCATTATGCCATTTCTCCAACATACACGGTCTTAAACATCTTCTTTATATATATATATATATATATATATATATATATATATATATATATATATATATATATATATATATATATATATATATATATATATATATATATATATATATATATATATATATATATATATATATATATACACTAGAGATAAAGTGTTTAGATGAGCAAAACGATAGAAAACTGCACACTTTAATCCTGCTCACTTTAAATGAGAAAAGAGGGAAAAGAAAGAATAATGAAAATAAAATGATCCCTGCCCCAACCCTGACTCTTCGATGTTTTATCAACTCCTTTGCAAGTTCTCTATAAATCAGTCAATGTGTTGTACTGAAGCCCTCGCCTACCCCTAAATCAGTATAGCGTCATAGTGCTCACCAAAGTATGCAATATCATTTATATACACATTTATACATATATATTTGTTTTTCTTTGTAGATAAATAAAAATACTTATTATGTCCCATCCACAAAAAAAGTGTGATCATGACACAAACCGAAAAAAGATTTGTTACTTTTGTGCCCACAAAACATCAAGATTATTAAATAAGCAATCAATAAAAGAGAAAGTGTCCACTTTTGATTTAGATTGCACTCATACAAAAAATCCACTCAGCATATGTGATAAAATTAGAAATAATATACGTAGAAAAAACTACTTGCCGGATTTAAAGATAGACTGGACTAAAAACATTGTTACACCTTTAACCAGAAATTCTACTAGTTGTCACTATAAAATATGCAAACTAACCAGTCTACGTGGAAGAACCCGAGCAAGAAGAAGCAGTAAGTTTTCCAAGTTGTGTGCACCCCATGAAAAAATATGTAAAGCTTGTCTTTCAAACATTGGGAAGGGAAAGAAGCACAAATGTGAAAATAAAACGTTAGCTGTAAAAGAATTAGAAAAACTTCAAACCTCAGCTGAAGTTAAGGATCAGATTGCTTCTCAAGTTATCTCAGAAAAATCATATGAACAAGGATCAAAAAGGATTAAACTTGCTACAGGTGCCAAACCTTAACAAATATCAGTAGGAACCTTAACAAATAAACCTAAACAAATCACCTTGATTGATTTATTAAGGATTCAATCAACACTTTCTCTGTCCAACAAGAAACTAATACTGCTAGCAAAAGAACTCAGGTAAGAACGATTTGAAGTATATCTTACTCTTTTTAAGTAATTTAGTTAGCATAAGTGTATATGTTTTTTTTAATAGAACATCAATTAAAAGGAAAACTTGCATACAAGCAAACCTACAAAAAGCACTTCCGGTAATTGATTGTGCCCTTGAAGATTTATTTATAATTGATTATCAAGAATTTGATGTTAAAAAAGGAAATTTAAAAGTAAGGGAAAATATCCCTATTATTAAATGCACCAATATTGAGGAGTTTGTAAAATTGCTTATTGTGATTAAAGAAGTGAACTTAAGCAATCAAACAGTCAAGCTCTGTATTGATGGAGGAAGAGGCTTTCTAAAGGTAAATAATTTCATTCTAAATATGTCTATGAGAATTATGATTCAGTCAAAACTAAAAAAAAATGATACAGTATTTTGTAAAAATAAAAAATTTCTTTTTTTAGATTTGTTTAAACCTACTGTCAGATTGTGAGAACAAAGGTTTAGAACTTGACAAAAACAATCATGAAGAAAAACCTGCAATTAGTACATATGAAGAACCTCAGAATTCAAAATATAAAGAAGGTTTTGTAAAAGCTTCTTTTTTACTAACTTTAGTTCCGAATGTTCCTGAAAGTCACTACAATGTTTCTATATTAATGAACTGTCTTAATTTAGATAAAATAAAACACTCATTTGTAGCTGATCTTAAGCTTTGTCAAATAATGTGTGGTTTATCTCCAAGTGCTATGGCTACACAACCTTGCCATATATGCGAATGGAAACGAATGCAACCATTTAAAGAAGAAAAGCTTAGAACTTTTGGTTCTTTAGAGGAACAGTACACAAAATTTTCTCAATCAGGTGCAATAAAACAAAATGCTAAAGAATTTTGCAACGCTATTAATCCTCCATTGATACACGCAGAAACCAGTGACTCTTTAGTGGCAGATTATATTTTCCCGCCAGAGTTACACTTAATGGAGGGAGCTGTTAATCATATTTATAATTATATAGAGAAATATGGTGGTGAAAACGAAGTGGCTAAAGTTTCAATGATTTTAAACATTTCAAAAGAGGTCCAGAATAATGCCTTTAAATGCCTTTAAATAATCCTTAAAATTATGATAAGTACATGCGTGCCAGTTAATTTAAAGCCATTGGCAGAGGGGCTTAGAATTTTAAACAATTTGGTTGAGTCTTGTTTTGGACAAAAACTTCATAATGATTTTCAAACACATACTAAAAACTTTGAAGATCACTACAGAACACTTGTTGAAGACTATGTGTTCAATAACTGTTTCATTAAAAATTCATTATATTATAAAACATATAGGTGCTTTTTGTGCAGTAAGAGGGCGTGGATAAAGTTGCTACTCTGAACAAGCTGTTGAAGCAATTCATTACAGCTTTGTTAATGAATCTTGGAATAGACTAAAAGTTTCCAAAAGTAACAGCTCCTTTTCTGATTATTTGAAAAAAGCTGTTATCAGTTTTGACGGAAAAAACCTTGTAAATATTGCAAATGCTCCTGAAAATATGTTTATATTTTAACTTTACTTAAATATAACTTTTTTATGATAATATGTTACACAAAAATATGTTAAGTTTATTAATAAACAAAATCTTAATAATATAAAACATTAATGTCCATGGTTTGTATATATATATATAATATATTTGTATTTTACAAATGACATATATATGACAGTCATATCCAAACAATATATTCTATTTATGACTCATTTTCACACCTTAAATGGCTATAACTTTTAAAAAATTGATTAACTTGTTATATAAATTTATTTAAATAATAATAATTTAAAAATCCACGAATTTGGGAAAGTTTTTTTAAATTTGGCCCTTTTGGCCCCTAAAACGTAAATATTTTGCTAAAAGGAATTTTATGATTTTGGTGACCTATCAAGCCTAAATCTACTCATTGTAACGAATCCAATGATGTATGACAATGGCCGGGGTCAAACCGCAAAACTAAAAAGTGGTTGCAGGCAGGTTTGAACTTCATGTTTTATAACCTTATACTTTATTAAACACATTTTTGAGGCGTTTTCAAAAATCTAAAAAGCCGTGGTTAAGTTGTTGCAAAAATTAAATGTGTGGTCAGGAATAGAGTGTGATTGCACGCCTTTCCTGTCCTCAACTGAGCTAAACCTAGCCAGATTATCTGACGTTGTATCAATCTTGTATTTTTATATATCAATCAAAAAAAGAACATCTTTGACCAAGCCTTGTGTAAGTGCACATAAATCTTTTTCTCTTTGACTTATTCTTAATGAGAGTGCAGTCATCAAATATTTAATATGTACTTCAATTATATGGTGGGGTATGTGTTTCATATGAGATTAGTATTTTAGTTAAATGTTAGAATTACAATTTTTCCAGAAAATTTTCCAGTGTTGCAGTTGTGTTGCAGCAAAGGCCAACAATATTGCCAGCAGTATCATATTATTCCAAGAGATTGAGGTTAACATTGACCTGCTCTGACCAAATTGAATTTTCTACCTTAAACCAAACAAAGAATAATCTCTACATTTCAAATCTAGATTTCAACTCTCTCATAGGTAACTATCAAATCATTTTCTTTTTGAAGCTGTCTAAAAAGTTTTATCTTTAATGTGAACTACGAGTTTCTTTCCTTTTAAAACATCAAAAAGATTCTGTCCTAAAGTTTCTTCTAAAGCACCTTAATTGTAGATTCAAAATAAAAACACAAAGACAATAATACTAAACACTAAATCTTTTAGTGCATAAAATTAAATATAATAAATTTAATAAATATAATAAGTGAATAGAATAACAAGACTTTCAAGTATCAATGGTGGTAATAATAAATGTACATTTTTCTGTGTAGAGTAAACAAAGTTCAATAAAGTCAATAAAGTGTAATCAACACCAACTTTATTGCAAATTGCAGAAATCATATTCATGATTTCTGCAATTTGCAATAAAGTTGGTGTTGGTATAAAGTTGTTGTTGTGTTGGTGTTGTAATAAAGTTGGTGTTGGTACTCTACACATTCTGTGTAGAGTAAACAAAGTTCAATAAAGTTCAATAAAGTGTAATCAACACCAACTTTATTGCAAATTGCAGAAATCATATTCATTTAGTTCATCATCATTAATTCTAAAATTGCTTTAATTTTTTTTTATATTCATAATTAGTACTTTCTTCTCATGAATCAAAATTATCAATTGCATCCATAGCACTTTCAAACTTGCTTAATCTGTTCCAAACTCCATCTAAGCTCCATCTAAGCTATTCTTGTCAACTGACTTCTGGGGTCTGTCACACATTTGTACAGTGGTCTTCTTTTTTGATTTAAGCTCTAAAAAAAAAGTGTTTCAAGTGTCATTTAACTGCATTAATTTTTCTGTTCTTTGCAGAACCTACAATTCAAACTCTTCATTTTGCTGTACAGTCATTGTCATATTCTTTTCAGATCTGTATCCTGGATAAAAAGCTGCACTTATATGCCTATTCTGCTTTGTTTATATCCTTCATTATCATGTTAATTAGTTGAGGAACAGATATGTCAAACAAAGCAATACTTTCCATAAGGGAATCTTCTTGCTTTTAAGTCCAGTTTGCATTGCTTGAACTCCAGTTTTGTTTATTCTATTCTTTCATTTTATGCTATTTCTCAAAAAGCCTATAGACCTTTTTACTAAAAAATTATTATCTAGCTGAATTATTACATTTACTAAAAAAGCAAACGTGAAGAAAATATTGTTAAAATATTTTTTGTCAAATTTACCCAACAGATCTTCCACTGACAATATTGCGCTTAAACCTAGCTTTTATCCATATTTCAGTGGCATCAAAAGTTACACACCTTTTGACTAATTTCTTACATGCTCTATCCTGACAAATCAGAGTTCTGCTTCCTGTTTTTGATGGACATGCAATAATGCTTTTGCTAGGTGCTCAAATAATAAGAAAAAAATAAAACCAGATATATTTCTATTGATTGACTGAGGAGTAAATAAATAAATTACATAAAAATTTGATGTTCAAATTACCTTGAAAATTTTAAAAAAGAATATTGCAGAACAATTTGACATTGGGTAGCTGGTTGACTGGAAGCTCATTTATGGGATACAGATAAAGAGATTGCCTTGCATTGCTTGAATAGTGTACTTTTTCTTTTCTGTACAACTCATTTTTTTAAATATATTTTTTTAAGAAACTTAAAATATTAAAATAATTTCATACGCCATGAAATATAAATATTAATAGAAATAATAGTTAAATAAAAGGAAAAGATGATTTCAAAGATTAAAGATTTCAAAAGAAAAGATAACTATTTTTTTAAAGAAAAATTACAAAATTCTGCTTATGAATATAATTTCATCTATTTTTCATCACAGTTGTATTTAATCTAGTAAAAACTTAAAAACATAACAAAAGTTTACAATTTATAAAATTCCCTATTTTTACACCAAAATCACAAATCCCCCCTTATATTGAATACTGTTGCCATATCTGGGGCAGATCTTCTAATGATGCTCTTTCTCTTTTAGAAAAGGTACAAAAACACATTGTAAACATAGTTGAACCTGCTCTTGCAGTCAACCTCCAACCATTATCACATCTTCTTAATGTTGCTTCTCTTTCTTATTTCTATAAATACTATAACTGGCACTCCCCTAAAGAACTAGCGTCTTTTGTGCCATCTACTAAAATTCATTCTTGTGTTACTTATCATTCAATTAAGTCTCATCCTTTTATTGTGACTGTTTCTAAGTGCTCCAAAAACTTATTCATCTAGTTTTTTCCCTCAAACATCAGTTCTTTGGAATTCGCTTCCTTAATCTTGTTTTACTGATTCATATAATTTGTTATCTTTCAAGTCATCTGTCAATGAGAACTTGCTCTATAAACTTAATCTTTGCTCTTCCAGTAACTTCCAACTCTAATAATGGTTCCTTACAGCTTTGTTGGAAGTCTTAATATAAAAAAAAACAAAAACTTGTTCAAGAACAATATGTTTATATATAAATTTTATGCGCTATCCAAAACCTGGTTTTGGATGGTGTATAAAATTTGTTTTTTGGGACACCTTAATGTATACTCCACTGTACCTATCCATATATAGTAAGTCGAAGTATGTACACTTTATTGCACCTATCTCTAGATAGTCAGTCAAAGTATGTAGACTTCATTGCACCTAACCCTAGGTAGTCAGTCGAAGTATGTATACTTCACTGCGCCTATCCCTAGATTTCACTGCACCTATTCTTAGATAGTCAGTGGTTTTAAAAAAACCATTAAATTTACTTAGTTTTCTTACATTTAAAAGATTTTTGCTTTGAGTGTACTTAATTTTGTCAATTTAAAACCTGAAAAACAACTTAAGAGCAATTAATACAACCTAACCTCCATAACTGAAACTTGGTTCAATTCTACTACTTCCCCTTCAAGCGATAACTATATACTATTTAGAACAAATAGAATAAAGTATGGAATAGATGATGTAGCAATATATGTTCAAACTGGTGTAATGACAAGTGAAATAGAAAATTTGCAACTTAATAAAATATTTAAATGCAAAAAACCTAAAAAATTTATAACTTTTTAAGTTAAAATTGCTACTGAAAAATTTGTAACTTTTTCCAACAATTTTATTGAATATCTAATCTAATGCATTCTGACAATTTTGAATATTTTTTCAACAATTTAAAAAATATGTATAAATAATTATAATATTTTCAGTATCTAATGTTTGTTTCATTCTGATAATTTGTAATTCTTTAGTATTTTTTTTCCAACACTTTAAAAAAATAGAAAAAAGAATAAACTTAAATCATTAGTTTTTTTATAAATTTCTTACCGTTACTCAGCAAAACATTTACAACTTCATCTCTGTTATTTTCCATAGCTTCATTCAAAGAGATTCCATCATGATCTTCAGCATTGTACTTTAACAAAAGTTTTAAAGCTTCAATGTTTTCATTTTTGCACACAAATTGCAATGGGGTGTACTTTAAACCATTGTCAATAAATGATGCATTTAAATCAGCACCATTTTTCAATAACAATTCTACAACTTCTAAATTTCTTACATCCTGCAAAGCAAAATGTAATGGGGTTTTTGTATCAACTATACTATCTAGTATTAGACGACCAGGATATTCTTCCTTCTCCCTAAAATAGTGGGAAAAACACACTAAGTTAGCACAAAAGAAATGAATATAAAATTAAATATTTATAAAAGAAACATTAGGTTGAATTTTTTTATTTTTCACACTTTACTATAAATTCTTGAATAATAAAGAAATACTTGAATAATAAAAGTTTGAATAATAAAAAAGTTAAATTGATTTTTTATTATATAATATTTTCTATTACCATAGTTACCTTTATTTTTTTTCAAATACGCTTGTGGTGATTGTCTTTTTTGAGCAAAATTTTTCCGAAAATATTTAAAATCATCCTAATTTTTATTAAAATTTTTAGCAAATTTAAATTTATAAAAATTTAAAAATAAGTTCTAAATTGACAATTTAACTTCAACACTACATTTTTTTAATGGCCGAATTTTCTATTCAATTGATAAAGTATAAAACTATTCAATTGATAAAGTAAGAAAACCTACTAACATTACAGTTTCTAATTTAGCTAAAGGCAGAAAAGACAGATTTACTAAGTATAGCAAAAGTACTTAAAACAATATTTTCCATTCAATTAGAGTTTACTTCACTAGAGTTTGACAATATAATAAATATAACAGATCAATGATAGATATAATAGATAATACAGATATAATAAATCTTGCAAACCCATTATTACAGAAACATGGTTCAAGAAATATCTGTTGCTTATGTTAACAAATAATAGTTAACTAAAGATTAACTGGAGAGATAAGGTTACTTGCAGGGACTGAGTAGCTATATGTATAAACTTAAAATATACTAGCAGTAAAGAGCAAAATCAAACAACAGTAATGCAGTGTATCAATTGACAAAGAAAAGCTGTTGCTAGGTTGTATATACAGGCCAACAACTGACGATGTGCAGGAAAACCCAAACACTTCTCTAATCACCATAAGAGGCAAAAAATTTATAAATCTCCCTATAAAGGTGAATTCCTTCTCTAATCAAATAAATTCAATGGATTTTTTTTTAAGAGATTTTAACTATGCTAACATCAAATTGAATAAAAAAAGCATCAAATTCAAATAGTTTTAAAACTGAATCAAATTTTGTTAATTGTTTATAGTATTTATTAATACTGTAAACAATTGTGATTTTATTCCACATTTAAATTTTCCAACTTGTTGTAAATTTCCTAACATGTTATAAAAATCCTAAAAAAACATCTACAATTGATCTAATATTGAATTGCAAGAAGGATATCTGAGATATTGCCTGAAACAATGTTTAGTAGAATCACTCAAGAACATTCTAGTATAAAATGGAAAAATATAACTCAAAATAAGAAATTTTTAAGCATTTAACTGCCATCAAAACTAGGCTAAAGGTGAGTACCCAAATTAGAGCTTATAAAAGTGATTATTCTTATTTACGCTAAGGGTGATTAGGCTTATTGATTGGCAGCGCATTTTGTGCACAATCCACAAACAAACCATCCAAAAGTGATTCAACTGCACTACAATACATTTTTATCATTATATAAAGAACCATATCACACATATATTTCAATAAAACACTTCAAGCAATTGATAACTGAGATATTCTTTTGTTTAAAATTGTAATATTACATAAACTAGAAAAATTAAACATTTACAAATTAATATCAATTGATGGTTGCAGTCTTAACATTTAAAAAAATTGTGCCATGTTATTTTGTAATTCTTTATGAAAAATTTTGAATCAAATTCATTTTCCAAGGCTGAGTTAAAATTATTAAGTTGTAGCTAAACAAATGATAATTCCGATTTGTTTACCATTAAATTTACCATTCAAAAACTTTGAAATTTATATAAATTATTATATTACAATATGATCTTTAAAAATGTATAACACATTTTATGTCAAACACTGAATAAACAGAAGTTTTAAACAGAAGTATGACTAAATAAAATTTTAAAAGTTAAATACTATACAACCAAGAATATGATTGTATAAAATATTTATAACTTTTTTGTTGAAACATTTTAGCAATTTGTTTATGTTAAAAAAACTACTTACGTGATCTTTATAAATGGTTTACATGCCAAAAGCATAGATATTATATTTTTGTTTCCATACTGAACTGCTAGATGTATAGGGGTGTAACCATTACCCATTGGTTGATTAATATGAACAAAAAATTTATTTGATTTGGGTGGAGCTAAAAAATAAAAAACTTTTAAAATATCAAATTCAGTCAAGACAGAATAGTGAAATAAAAAAATAGTAATTGCTGCATTTTGTCTTGTTTTCATTTTTTGTGATAAAATTGTTTTGCCTTATAGGTTTTGCCTTAGGGATCGTCCATAAAATACGTAACGCAAAACTTATTTAAAAAATATAAGTAGGAGACCATTTTGTTCTTTTGCGCGGCAGTTTTTGCTGGACTTATAAATTGTTTATATACTAGGTTTAATTAAAGACTCTACAAGGGAAAACTTTTAATCGTTTGTCTTTTGTCTATAAGTTCAATTTTGTGTTACGTAATTTATGGACGATCCCTTATAGATTTATCTTTTTTATTTTTTTATCTTATTTTTTTTTTGTCTATTAAGAAATTCAACCATAACAAATTGACCTCTCATTAAAAAAAAAACTAAATTATGAGAAACATAAGACAAATTTTTTAAGAATAATCAGTTATCTATAGTATAGAAACATAAGACAAATGTTATAAGAATAAGTTTAAATAAGTATAAGCTTTTTAAAACAAGGAATTTTTTTTTTTTTTTAATAACATTTAAATTTAGTTGATCATCTTTTTTATTCATTATTTATTAATTTTTTAATTTTGTGTAAAGATATTTTATAAATATTTAAAATAGTTAAGACTTAAGATTTTTAATGTAATTTCAAATTAAAATTAATTACAATGTGGTAATATGCAACTGATGTAATTAAACTTTTAATGATGTAAATATGCTTATTGAGTAAAGCATAACACAAGTACATTTACATCATGTTATGCTTTTCCATTATGCAACAAAATCTTATCACAAGACCTGCTCTCTAGTTAGTGCTTTAGCTTATATTTTGATCTTACTTGGACATTGACTAACTGTTTGTCTATCCTAGCCAAAATAAATTATATTGGATTCAAATCTGGGTAAAAAGTGAGCCAGGTAAAAAATCTACTTTGTTTTGTTTTATCCATGTTTTGACTGTATGAGCTTGTAAGCAGGTGCCATACCTTATTGACATCGCCATCATTCAACTTGATCAATCGGCCATTGAACTATGCAGTTTTTTAACATCTCTATAGAGGTATGATGTTTGATAAAGCCTATATAAATGTTACATAGACCTAATCAGTTAAAATTAAAGCA